TTTCCAGATGTTTTGAAAGGATAGGAGGATGGAAACTTCTTCCAATGCTTACAAACTTAGAATAAATGTAGAATATATCCATATGTCAGTATGGTCATACTGGGTTGTCTCTTCCAGACACACTTTTATACGTGGAAATACTTTTTGCATAACCACGCTTTTAGAGTTAACTTTAACAAATAATTTAGGCTCATACTCTTCTTTTTCAGCCCTGATGCTCTGATGATGTCAGGGGCAGAGCAGAACCCTCAGGAGGGAGGCAGGGTTGACACAGTGTTCCAGCAGGAGGCTAGGTTGGAACACTGCATCAGGTAAGAGTAAAACTACACCTCTGCCTCCCGAAGGATACAGTCTTAAAGACTAACGCTTGTGGGTGGGCAGGAAGCTCTTTGTTGGAGTATTTATAGAGTGCACAGTTGATTTCCAGATCGAATGCTTCTCCACAGACTCCTTTTATTTTTGAGTTGGAGCCTCACTCTGCTGCTCAGGCTGGAGTGCAGTGGCATGCTTACGGTCACCGCAGCCTTGACCTGCTGGGCTCTGGCGTTCTTTCCACCTCAGCCTTCCAAGTAGCTGGCACTACACGCGCGCGCTACCACACCATGCTTATTTTTTGATTTATTGTAGAGATGAGGGCTCACCAAGTTGCCCAAGCTGTACTCGAACGCGTGGGCCCAGGCAGTCCCCTCACCTCAGCTTCCCAAAGTGCTGGGATTATAGGAGTGAGTCATCTTGCCCGGCCTCCACAGACTCTCTTATTTTTTTTGAGTTGGAGTCTCACTCTGCCACACACTCTTGATTGTTGGTTTCTAGAAATAGGAAAGAAATGATGTGTAATTTTGCTAATTTATCCCGAAAATAATTTTTCAATTCTCTAGGACAGTAATTTTTCAAACTTTTTAATCCTAAAACCTCCTTTACATTTTAAAAATTGTGGACTTCAAGAGCCTTTGTTTGTGCAGATTAGCTCTATCGGTAGTTACCCTATTAAAATTAAAACTGATTATTTACATATCTGTGACAGTATTTTAAAACAGCAATAATAAATCCTTTACATATTGGCATAAACATATTTAGAAAACTATATTCTCCAAAATAAAAAATTATGAAAAGGGTATCATTGTTTTCCATTTTTGCAAATCTCTTTTATATCTGGCTTAATAGAAAACAGCTAGATTGTCAAGTTTGTTTCTTCATTCAGTCTGTTGGATGTGTTATTTTATTTGAGGTATATCAAGAGTTTAAAAACTAAGCCCCATGGCCCAAATTCAGTCAGCTGTTTTTGATTAGTTCACAAGCTGAGTATTTTTTTCTTTGTAATTGTTGAAAAAATCATTTTTATTATAATAATAATATTTTATTGCACACGGAAAATTGTGTGAAGTTAAAATTTCAGTATCCACAAATAAAATTTTAGTGGAACACAGCCTGTCATCCATTTATTGTCTGTGACTGCCTTTGCACTATAATGGTAGAGTTGAATAGTTGGAACAAGACTGTATAGCCACAAAGTCTAAAATAGTTACTATCTGGCCCTTTTTAGAAAAACATTACCAAAGAAAATCTAGCCTCGCATAGTAAAGGAAGGACTGTTTTATTACTTTTTCAGATATTGTATATATGCTTTGGTATTACATCAAAACACAAATGGTAATTTCTTAAAGGTTAGTTGCAATGTGGAGGCTGAAACCGTATTAATAAATATTTTGTATTTTTACATTAAAACCCATTGGTCTGTCTTGTGCTTTGAATGAACCCTTTACCCATGATGCATTTGTTATTTGTAAAATATCAGTTCATTGAGTTAATACACATCTTTCAAGTGTTGGGATATTGCGTTATATATATGAAAAAAGTATATTTGGTAATTTTACAGCTTACCAGAGAAGTCTTCAAGTCCTGGAACTTCTTGAGAATATAGACATAAATACACATTTTCCAGAATTCTGATTTTTTCTTGAAAGCTTGAACTTTGTCATTAGTAACTTTTAGTAGCAGATACTGAAAACAGTTGCTTTCCTTGAAGTGACAGGCTCACTTTATTCATTTTGAGAAACTGCCTGTCCAATAACCAAATCTGCATAATTATAGTTTGTCAATTGTTCTTTCAAGAAAAATGGTGTTCCATGAGAAAACTGACTTGTTCAGCTTTACAGCTGAATCAGATAAGTACTTTTTCCCTGAGATAACCATTGTACTTTGATATGCAGCAGAAGTGCTCTATATGTGTTTCCCATTTTGGCACACAGTATTGAAAAGAAGGGCTGAGATTTAAGAAGACTAATTGTTACTGGCTCATGAATATTCCCCAATGAGATTAACATGTATATTTATTTTTTCTTCATATTATATTCAATACTTGTACACATGAGGGTGAAGAATACAATAGCGCTTAGTATATTTTGCTGCCACTGCCTTGATTCTTGCTGATAAGCTAGTTTTACCCACCATGGCTTTTGCACCATTTAGTGCAAATTTCAACACGGGAAAAGCGTTATTAATATTATAAGAATAATTTTGACTTCTCAAACCCTCTAAAAGAGTTTTGAGAACTCCCAGGAAGGAGTTTGTGGTCCACAGTTTGAGAACTACTACTCTAGGAAAACAACACAAAGTATAATTGTTTGGGTGAATAGCATTTCAGGTCTCAGCCTCAAAAAATTAAACCCATTGTAACTTCACCAGTGAACCACAGACTTTCCCAGAATTGATCTCCAATCATTACTGCCCTGAGGTGGGGGTAGTGTACAGTCTGGCCCTCAGTTTGTCAATAGAAGATGACATTATGAGAACTGTGATCTTGAAAGCCAAACCAGGACCTCAGATTTCCCCTAAGATGATATTTAAGAATAAAATAAGAGTCTACTTTAAATAAGTTCTTTTAGAAATTAATCATCCTGTAGTTCATAGTATTTTAATTCTGTTTATTTTTATTTTCTTTAATACTCACCTGTTTCGGGAGACCTCTTAAAGATACTTCTTCATTCATTAGCCTCCTAGCAGATTTTTACTTTTGGTAAATTTTCAGATTTGTTGCCTCCTTTGCTTAACTTCTTTTCCCTTTATTATCATTGGGGAAAAGATTCATAATTTTTGTTCACACTGAAAACCCCAAACTATCCAGTGAGGAATTTGTTCCTACCATTTATCATAAATGTTTCCTTTAGTTCTTCTCCAATAACTTTGGATTAAGAGGTCTTCATAGAACAATATCTGAAGCTTTCTTATCTCTAAACTACTTAGATACTTGTATTTAGAAGATATAGGACTAAGAAGGAAACATTTCCTGATCTTAGAAGACAATAATTAATCAAAATACAATGCCAGACTGCAAACTAGAACTTGCAGTGTGGTATATAATAAGGGTACAACATCAGGGTAAGTAAAAGGAAAATATTTTAAGGGAGTCATGTAATAGAATAGGCAGGAGGGAAATTTTGAAAACTTTTTCGTCTGTCAGTAGTTAATTGTGGTTCTAGGAAAATGACAGTGAAGGGGGAATTAATTTAAATAAACAAGAACACGCAAAACAGTAATAAATACTACTGTGTGTTAGGTCTGTGTTATACACTAAAACTTGAAGGCTTACTAATGAATAGATCAAAAGGTTTAAAGTTACACATCAATAGGTTAATTATATGGCTGTGTATTTAGAAATCTGAAATATAGTGTTAACATTTAATGGCACTTTTCTTTCTTTCTGATGGAGAAACTCAGGTGCTATTTTATTCAACTTGCCCATGGTCAAACAGACAGTGACAGATATTGGAATCATGTTTTTGACATGAGTTCTAAGCAGATTAGGTGCTTTCACTATTGACTGGGATTATATTCAAAGCCATGGAAAACTTGGTAAAATTAGAATGAGAATGGAGTTACCATTGACATTCCTTCTGTTTTTAAATACAATTTAGGGATATTTTGAATTAAGGCTTAACTATCATTGAAAATAAGATATGATATTTCAAAATACTTTAAAAACCGTTCTGGTTGAGTGCAATGGCTCACACTCCTGATCCCAGCACATTGGGAGGCCGAGACAAGAGGATTACCTGAGCCCAGAGGTTCAAGACCAGCCTGGACAACATGGTCAGACCTTGTCTCTACAATAAATCAAAATAATAGCCATGTGTGGTACACCTGTAGTCCCAGCTACTTGGAAGACTGACATGAAAGGATTGCCTAAGTCCAACAGGTAGAGGCTGCAGTAGCCATGATTGTACTACTGCACTCCAGCCTGGGTGATAGAGTGGAACTTAAAAAAATTGTGAAATAGTACCATGGATTTGTAGCTATCTCAATTAAGTCTGTAAGTGCCAGTGAGCCTAATGATAAAAGTTTAAAGTTTCATGGGTTCATTGACTTTGCATTTTGCCCATGGCTGGGGACTCTCCTTTTGCCGTCTACCTTGACATGCTGCTTTTTGGTAACAAGGGGAGATTTGCAGAGAAAATATGAGTGAATTAGTATAAATAGGCAGTTTTCAGAGTATATTGCAAGGGAAAATTGAGGGATTTTATTTGATGGAAAGAATTTGTGTTTGGGAAAAATTTATTTTAGACAAAATTTATTTACTCTGGGACATCACAAGCCTTAATATATAGATGTGCATAGGATGCTCCAACAGGGAATTATTGTATCCCCAAACATATCTGAGCAGAAAACCTAATTTTTCAAAGCCACCATACTAATTAGTACTCCACGGAATACACTTTGGAAAACTGGTACAAATCTATCCCAGTTATCAGAAAATGATTCAAACCATGTAACTATTGCATTATTGTTATTTTGTATTAATCCCTTCTTTCTATTTATTCCTGTCTAGATAATAAGTAGCAGGAATAAGTAGTGTCTGTTAAAATGCATACTTTGGGAACATGAGGAAAGGAAATTTAGATTATAAATTACTTGTGAAAATCACCTTTAGCTTTTTTATACGTAAGTATTTCTACACACAAAAAGTTGCATTTTATAGAGAATTTCTCCTTTTTACATTACAGATGTTGGAGATCAGCCAGGTGAGGTAGGTTATTCAGGCTCTCCTGCCGAAGCTCCTCCAAGCAAGTCACCATCAATGCCGTCGTTAAACCAGACATGGCCTGAGCTGAATCAGAGCAGTGAGGTGAGCAAAGTTTCCCTTTTCTTTCAGTAAAAGTTAACGGTTTTAAGGTAAGGTGTTCCAAGCAGGGTAATTTCAGTTTATAGCTCTTTCAGTGTGCATGCATAGTTGAGAGAACATATAAAATATGCCTGTGATGAATATTTATAATTATGTTACTTTTTGAGGTTTTCAAGGTATTTATACTATGATTTGTTTCTACCACTTATCCCCATTAAAACCCTGTGAGTTCGGAGAGTCAGATGCAGAAAGTTAACAGTCAGAGGGTAAATGACTTGGCCAAGATCTCATATCCAGTAAGGGACAAGAGCTAAGATTTGAACACAAGTCCTTTGATATCCAACCAGCTGCCACGCCCACTGTGTTGCACTGCCTTCTCCGTCCTATGAGCAAGGTATGTGATAATACATTTGGGATCTTAGCCTTGGAAGTGGTATGAGAAGTCACTCATTCAGCTTTCCACATGAAGAAAGTATTTTTTACAACTCAGTCTATAATTAGTTTTATCCAATACAAAATGGAGTGATTTAACCATATTAAATGTGTTAAAGATGTATCATACATGATCAAACACAGCATGCAGAATAAAATTTGGGACAAATGCACTGCTCCCCAGTTACTTTAGAACTCCATTATATAAAACAAGAAAAAGGCCACTTTGGTTAGCATAAGCCTGAAGCTCCACCTCCCCAAAAGACCCCGAGCCTCCCTGTTAAACTTCAGTGCTAGGAGATCCATGTGGAACCCCCGGTTCTAGTCTGGTAGAGCTGTTTTCTTTGTGAGCAAGTTATTTTTTTGTATCATTTTTAGATAGTGCTACAAAAGTAAAAGTTTGTTGAATTTCAGAAAACAGTTCTAAACTTCAGTACTTCCCATGTCTTTTAAAGAGCAGGCTGGTAATTTTGGATTGTTGGAAAACAGAGAAGTAACTGGCAGCTTTACATTATTTTCTGCTTTATGACATAGTCACTGCCAAGATACCTGTGTCTGAGGCATTATAACTTAACATCTATCCTACCATCAGATACAAAACCACTAATACCAGGGTGCCAAAAAAATGTATGCACATTTTAAGCAGTGTTTCTATGCATTACTTGTAGTTTGCTGTAATCAGAAGTGTCTGAACGTTGATGGTAACCTCTTATAATTGCAAAAGTCAAACGTGACTTGTGTTCATCTTTTGTTATCAGTATATATTGAGTATTACAATTTTAGTACAGTTTTTTCCTTTCTTAAAATGTGTATACATATTTTTGGCACCTCTGTATAAATGTTTTTCTACAAGTGAGGGATTAAGCCGTGGAAGAATTTGCTAGTAAAGAGGGTATATGGAAAGTAAGTTCATTGTTCTTGAGACTACAGTTTTTATTCATTTCTGTCATTTTTAAAAAAGCAATATTAAATTAAAAGTACTTTTATTTTATTGATATCAGTTTGTAAATAAAAGCAGCTCTTCTGAGACATCTCAGTTCTAAAACCTATGTTCATTCTCAAACTTCTATTTGTTTATTAAAGACTAGGGATGGAAGTCCTTTCTAAATTCTGATTTCAGTAGTTGTAGTTTCCCTACTGAAATTCTGTCAAGTTTTATTTTATATTTGGTTGTAAGGTCATGAGTGCTATGATTTTTTTTTTTTGCTTTATGTGAAAAATCAAAATGCTAATAAAACATTGACTTTGAGACATTTTAATAATATTTATAAAAATATCTTCTTAGGATATGGAATTTAAAATACATTTTGGGCAATCCCTTTGGGTCCCCTCCCACTGTGGGAGCTTTTCTGTCCTCAATAAATCCTGCTTTTTCACTTAAAAAAAAAGATTTAATTGGGCCAGGAATGGTGTCTCAAGCCTATAATCCCAGCACTTTGGGAGGCTAAGGCTAGAGGATTGCCTGAGTACAAGGTTCAAGACCAGCCTGGGCAATATAGTGAGATATTGTTCTCAACAATAAATCAAAAAATTAGCCAAGTGTGGTGGCGCACACCTGTAGTTCCAGCTGCTTGGAAGACTGAGGCGGAAGGATCGCCTGAGCCCAGCAGGTCGAGGCAGCAGTGGCTGTGTGCATGAGACTTCACTCCAGCCTGGGCGACAGAGTGAGACGCTAACTCAAAAAAAAAAAAAAAAAAATTAATTATCTGCCACAAAATACTAATGATCATTCAACATAAATGTATTCAGCACCTGTGGTTATGGATGAGGCACTATAGAGGATAATACTAACAATAATCTCTAACATTTATTGAGCACTTTTGATGTACCAGTTCTGTTCAAAAAAACTCTTTATATGTATTAACTCCTGAAGTCTTCAGAACAACCCTATGAGGTAAATATTATTAATCTTCATGTTCTAGATGGTGAAACTGAAGCACAGAGAGGTTATGTAATGTGCCCAAGTATGCACAGCATAACTAAGATTACAGTACTCTGGTGCCAGAGCTGTGTGCTCCTAACCTATACTAAACTCATAAAGATAAGTGTCTCTCTGCCTCCCGGGTAGCTTACATACAGTCTTATAAAACCTAGAGAGCCTCCCAGGTAGCTTACATACAGTCTTATAAAACCTAGAGAAACTTCATGCTGCCCAAATGAGGCCACATTCTTTTTTGGCAAAAATACCAAAATACCTTCTTTTTTGGCAAAAATTGTCAGCATCTAAACTTTTCTCCACAGTTAGAGAATTAGGATTTTAAAAATTCCTTCTGTGATACCCTATGATGAAAGTGAACTGTTGTAGGCTTTTTAAATGTATGAAACACTTGGAATGCATCAGTATTTCTCAGTATATCTTAATTTTTTTATTAATTTGTAGGAAAAGTTGTTGAATGATTGTATTGATCGTTTTTTTAGTTGGCTTTCAACAATGTGCTCACTTGCTAATATTTAATTTCTACATATCTTCTCAAATTGAATATCAGTATTTTAAATAGTAAGCTGAACTTTGAAGCATAAATGTGTATCCTTTCCCAAGCTGAAATATAAAAAGAAGATTTTAGTTAATGAGGTAGTTTGTGTCTGTGTGTAAACATTTGTGTGTGTGTGTGTGTGTGTGTGTATATATATATCGCATGTGTGTAGATGGTTTTCCCTCTTTAGAGGATAACTGATAATTCTTAAGAATCAGATTTAAATGATAATTTTAATATAACTTTGATGTAAAAATTCTGTACTATTTTATTACTAAGATTTCCAAAACAAATGGAATTTTCTATAATTAATCTTGACTTATCACTCCACCTGTTTTAAGAGGTATGATATTTCTTTGTGTACCTCTTTTAGAAGAGTAGTATTTCATATCAGAATACATCCTCTGTATATAACACATGCTCAGATGCTTGATTTGCTCTCATCATGGCCGCATACTGATTGTTTAGCATGGTGGGGGGCTGTCGGTGGGGTGCCTGACTGGCAGTTCTGTCTTGTGGTCTGGCATGGCCCTGTTTGTAATGCTGATTGCAGGGGTTGACTTGCTACAGATTGATATAAGCGCAAACATATTAATTCCAGAATTCTTGCATTTTATCTCAAATATATTTTATTAAATATACATATGTATACAATATGTGCACGTACATAATAGAATCATCTTTCAGGGGTCGCACTGGCAAGTCACACTGACTTGCTTTGACAAAACTTTGGTTCATTAGCATCACCAAATGAAGACATTAACACTTGAATGTTCAAAGAAGGATTTGATGTTATTCTTTTCTTTAGTCAAGACAAATCCCTTCACGTTTTTTACTTGGTGGCCATTTATATCATTTAGACTTTGTTCTTGCATTGTGTTTTAACTCTGTAAGGCTTTGAATCTCTTCCATAGAGATTGCAATAAATTATTACTATACATTTGATTGTAAAGCTGTTCACCTTACATTACAAGATAACTCAGAATATAGATAAGCATAAAGTGTTGTTGGAAAAATAGAAATGACAGGATTTTGTTGACCTATGCAATACAACTTGCAGTGCAACCTCTGAATTACCTTGCTAAATCTTCTCCAGTGATCTTTTCCTCCATCTTTCTCATCATGCTGACTTGTCTCTCCTCTGTCTGTTCAGCAGTGGGAGACATTTAGTGAACGCTCTTCAAGCTCACAAACTCTGACCCAATTTGATTCTAACATTGCACCAGCTGATCCTGTAAGTCAATCACTTAGCTTGCTTGTTTGAAATTAATTTTATTAACCCAAATTTCCATTCATTATGGTTTTTAGCCAATATGCATGATTCAGTGGAGTGCTCGGAGGGAAGTGGTGGCAGGCTTTTCAATTTTTGTGTGCTTAATGGTGGAAAGAAAATTTTTGCCATTCCTCATATTTTCTAGTTCTTTTGGTGAGAGAAAACCATGTTTTTAAAATCTGGTTCACGTGTCTATAAGAACATTTTTTGTGGCAATTGATTTGGTTAACCTTGCTGTCATTTGCTAATTAAGTTCATGTTTTATTAAATTTCAGTGTGGTGACACTTTATGTGAATACTATTTTATTTGTATGCTTACACATCATGTAATATGTACTGTGTATGTAAATATTTATGCAGTGTCATCTTTTGACACTTCAAGTGATACGGTTTTTATTTAATTATGTTGAGTTCTGTTAGAGAAAATCAAGTTCAGCAAAATAATACAGAGCTGTTGGTGAAAGATGCCCTTGTGCAAAGGAGCCTCTGTCTTGTCTGCCTGTGGCTTACTATACTGCTTTAAAAAGGCTACAAAGTTCACAACCTAATTTTAAAAATAAATATTGTCAGCCAGGCTGGGTGACTCAGCCTGTAATCCCTCGTTTTGGAGGCTGAGGTGAGTGAATTGCCTGAGCCCACGGGTTCGAGACCTGCCCGGGCAACTTGACTAGACCTCATCTCTACAATAAATCAAAATATTAGCCGGGCGTGGGAGTGCACGCCTGTAGTTCCAGCTACTTGGAAGGCTGAGACGGAAGGATCGCCGGAGCCCAGCAGGTCGAGGCTGCGGTGGCTGGGAGTGGTATGGGTGTTTTTTCAATTTATTAATATTCAAGGGCCAGTGAACATGTAGATCATCTGTACCTTTGCTTCTTTTTTCTTGCTATATTCAAGATATTTATATTTGGTTTTGGTCTCTGAAAAACGTAGGAGAAATAAAAGGCATTATATGCGAGTTTGCTGCTTATTAGCAGCTATACTTAAAGTCCCTTGGAAACCGGGCTCGGTGGCTCAGCCTGTAATCCCACGCTTTGGGAGGCTGAGGTGAGTGGATTGCCTGAGCCCACAGGTTCGAGACCCGCCTGGGCAACTTGGCAAGACCTCATCTCTACAATAAATCAAAAATCAACCGGGCGTGGTAGCGCGCGCCTGTAATTCCGGCTATTCGGAAGGCTGAGGCGGAAGGATCGCTGGAGCCCAGCAGGTCAAGGCTGCGGTGGCTGGGAGCGGCCACTGCACTCCAGTCTGGGCGACAGAGTGAGACTCCAACTCAAAAAAAAAAAAAAAAAAAATTTTTTTTTCTTGAAGCTTTAAATTTTGTTTCTCTATATTCATCCTTCTCATTATTATGCAATCAGGTTAATTTTATTTAAAGTACTTAATGAAAGTACTTTAGGCCTGGTACAGTAGCTCATGCCTATGATCCCAGCACTTTGGGAGGCCAAGATGAGAGGTTTGCCTTAGCCCATGAGTTCGAGACCAGTCTGGGCAACTTGGAGAGACCTCATCTCCACAATAAATAAATAAATAAATAAATAAATAAATAGTTGGACATGGTGGCACACACCTGTGGTTTCAGCTACTTGGAAGGCTGAGGCAGAAGGATTGCCTGAGCCCAGCAGGTCAAGGCTGCTGTGGCCATGAGCATGCCACTGTACTCTGGTCTAGGTGACAGAGTGAGACTCCAACTCAAAAAAAAAAAAAAAGTACTTTATAGGAAGGAAGGTTTGATGTAGCAATAAAGAAACTCTATTCTCTAACCCTAAAAAAAACAGTGAAAATAATTATTCTGAGTATTATGAGTCTTTGTTAGGCCAGGCAAGAACAATAAAATCTAGAAACAAAATAAATTGACTCATTACCGGCAGGAATGTAGAGAAATATTTGGCTGAATAACAGTGATGTTCTTCTAATTTCTTGGTATTAATATCCGAATTCATGAATGCCAGCTCTAGTGTTTAAAATTATATGACTCAATTAGTCGGGCGTGGTAGCGCGCGCCTGTAGTTCCAGCAACTCGAAAGGCTGAGGCGGAAGCATCGCTGGAGCCCAGCAGGTTGAGGCTGTGGTGGCCAAGAGCGGCCACTGCACTCCAGTCTGGGCGACAGTGAGACTCCAACTTAAAAAAAAAAAAAAAAAAAAAATTATATGGCTCAATACTTTCATTTGTTCTCTTTAGTGTACTAGGAGGTACTAGGAAATTAACTGTTGATTGACATTTTAAACTTGAATTTAGACCTCTAAATTTGATAAAATTGACATTCATATATATATATATATATATATATAATACACTTACACACATATATACATATTTATATATATATAAAATCTAGTACCTAGAAATGTCTTTTTTCTTTTATGATAGCAAACTTAAATCTGAACTTTGTTCCACAACAAGTATTCTTACTTTAAATCTTCAGTTAAGGGAATGTCCTGCCTTCTCCTAATTGTGACCTACAGTGTTTGAGTTTCTTAACCTTCATTTCATACTTACCTGAAATATTACCTGACTACAGAAGACAGCCTGTAGCCACAATCCCAGATGATCCTTTGTAATAAGGCCCACTCAGATTAGAAGGGAATCACCTAGGAGAAGAAAACACAGCAGTTCTCATATGGATTTAGCATTAAATATTTAATGGAATGTTAAAAAGAAGCTCAATTTTTATAACTAGTTATTTGCTTAGTGAAGTAAACAGTGAGAAGCTCCAAACTGACCTGTAGGACTCTGAGACAACCATTACACAGCGCAGTGACTGTGTGTGCACACTGGGCTGGTTAGTTATTAGACTTTCAGAGTTCTGATGAAATTGAGATTCTGGTTATCTTGTTTCCAGAAACTGTTTTCTTTTCTTGAACTGCTTATCAGTTAATAGCTTCTGGTAGACTCTGCATCTGCTAGGATGTGCGCAAATCAAACACCAGGGAGATTCTGAACTGATGAGAAATGTAATGTGCTAATCTTTGCTATGGTTTATTCAGAGCAGTTAAGCGTATGAAAATAATTAGTTTGATCACTGATTATGTCCAGCCAACTCAGTTGGTGTCCCCTCTTTGGTACTTGTGATATTATCTGGGAATACAAAGATGTTAAAAACAAGATTCAAGTCATAAGTAGACCACAGTTAAAGAGGTCATATTTGTGTGCTAAGTTTTGAAGGAAAGTATGAATCAGCAGAAGTGGACAGGGGCAGGGTATTCCAAGTAGAGAGAATATCATGAGTAGGGTGAGCTTAGTATGGTGACCCTACAGGGTACAGAGATGTATGAATTGGGGTAATGATGAGAGCTAAAGAATCTGGCCAAAACCAGATTGGGAAGATCTTTGTATGCTAGACTAATGTTAGAGTCGCACCAGCGCTATACTGCCATCCTGGGACCCACGTGGGGTCCAAGACGGGTCCAAGGGTACAGTGGCACCCAGAGACCCACGCGGTGGCCTAGAACGTTATGGCGCCCTGGAACTACGGGTTGCCAACTGCCGCGGAGCCCCGAGGAGTGTTCCACTCTTAGCTCCCCTGTTTAGGGCTTTTGCCTGGAGAATGCCCTTCCAGGTCAGGAAAGGTCACAGCTCTCTTGTCTCAATGAATCGCAGGTTCTTGTCTCTCCACCAAGAAAATTAAGGATCCAAGACACCGAAGGGCGAGCAAGTCAGCGTTTATTTAGAAAAGCAAGTGTTAGCAGCTCTAACAGCGAGGGGGGGGCCTAAGAGGGACCCAAGTGGGTTTCCCCAAGTGAGTTGCCGAGCCCCAAGAGGGTTGCTGGGGCCAGAAGGGCCGCTGGGGGCGGGCCGGAGTTTATGTAGCACTCGGGCGGGCTGATTGGTTGATAGTTGCTAAAAATACACTAACCGAGTTGGTTAGTACTAAGGAGTACTAAGGCCTAAAATGTGGCATGGTAATGTAAAGGGCCGATGGGGAGAGAATTGAAAAAGGGCCAATTAGGAAAAGGTGCGAGAAAAAAAGAGAAAGCGAGCGAAAAGGGATTGGGTGTGGCTTTTGTCCGGAGCCTGCAAGCTAGCGGCTGTTTATCCAGGTAAAATGGAGTCCTACTGGAGACCTGCCCTAACCGTCTGCCTAACAGGCTTCTTGTTTACTCCTCTGTCACTAAGACCCTGAACTTGATCTCATAAGCACCTGGAACTAGCACAGAGTACCATGAAAAGGTGGAGGCAAGGAAAGGGGTAGCTGGGGAAGATCACTCAGGCAATAATGTGAACAGCTAAATCCAAAGCTATGGGGGAGATGATGAATGCCTGAACTCAGTTAGCAGGTGGGAATGGAAACGAGGCAGAGCTGGATTCAGACAGATGAGAATATCTATTTTTCAGCTTGTCTATTGCTGCTAAGCCAGATACTTGATCTGGTTCTGGTTTTTCCCTAGGGGGGTCTCCATTCTCAGGACCAGGTCTACCTATGTCCCGGGTACACCTCTTTTTCTTCTTTTTCTCAGAGGCTACGATGTGTCTTTGTCCTCTCTTCCTTACCTTTGCCCTTTCATTTCAAAAGTCTATACTATCAACTCCTTTACTCCTCTAACTAGACTAGACTTTCGTGAAGTTTGGGCATATCAGATGTATTATAGTCATTTAAAAAAGGTTTAAGAAAAGTATTAGTGTGTTACAGAGGAAATCTTGTTCTGTTTGAAAACAAATTCGTTTGTGGAAGTTTTATGCTAAATTTTGAGGCAATCAAGTTTAAACAGTTCAAACTAATCTATAGGAAGTATGTATTGTGCCTTACAATTGCAATATAACAGGCAACTTGTTAACTTTATTTTGTAGATAAAAAAGAAAAGCGTCATTTTCTTGCAGTTTAGTGAAAATGAGTTCTCAGTTTGTTACAGTTTTTGGATTCTCATGAAATGGTTCACTTTAACCTAAAGGGCTCGCATTTGCATAATTTCATAAGATCATTCCTCACTTTTTCTTTTGAATATTTTCTTGAACTGTGTTTATATAAGAGCATTTTTCACATAAATCTTTAATCAATTTAAAATATATTTTTATAAAATAAGATTATTAAGCATGTATAGTGAACTTGATTTTTAAATATAATTCTAGAGCTTTTAATTTTAAAAAGGCATTTTATTTATTTACTTAGACTTGAGATTTCACATTGTTGCACAGACTGGAGTGCAACTGGCCCAGTCATAGCTCATTTTAGCCTTAACCTCCAGGGATCAGGCGATCCTCCTACCTCAGCCTCCCAAGGTGCTGGTGCACTATCACGCCCAGCTAATTTTTAAATTTTTTTTAGAGATGAGGTCTTGCAGTGTTGCCTAGGCTGGTCTTAAACTCCTGGGCTGAAGCATTTCTCCCACCTTAGCCTCCCAAAGTGCTGGGATTTCAGGTGTGAGCCACCACACCTGGCCCTAAAAAATTTACTTTCATGCTTGCATTGGTCTGAATGAGAAAGCCTATCCACCAGTTCTTACAGTCTTGTTAGTTTGTTTTGCGATATTAGCTTGTCATTTTTAATACAAATTCTGTATTTCCTCCCATTTGTCCCTAGGACACTGCTATTGTTCATCCAGTTCCTATTCGTATGACTCCAAGTAAAATCCACATGCAGGAAATGGAACTTAAAAGAACTGGCAGTGGTAAGGAAGCTGTTGCTGACCTGTCATTTAATTTAGCAGTAAATTAAGATACATAAGTAATCTGTCAAGGTTCAGATTTATTTCATAATTGCTTATTTTGTTAACATAGTACTTTCTTTAATTCTGTCCTCTATGTTTATGCATATTTTATATTGCAATTTTTAAAGGGAGGTTATTGCTTTTAAATTATAGAACTTAAAGCTATGGACATTTGAAAATGTGACCTTAAAAGGTTTTTGCTTTTTTTAAAATAAAATTTGTTCTATTAAAAATATTTTATTTTTATTAAAAATATCATTTTGTCTTATGTCTCATGGAGTTGCCTGCCACTTCTTTGGACATCTAAATGTAGCTTTATATGGTACTCTGAGGTTTATGAATTTACCAACTCAAATACCAATATCTTATATTTTTTCCTATTAATTCTCTCCCAGATCATACGAATCCCACTAGCCCATTACTTGTGAAACCTTCTGACCTTTCAGAAGAAAATAAGATAAATTCGTCAGTGAAATTTGCTTCTGCAAATACCGTAGGTAAGTGAAAGATAGCATTATTTCTTCCACTTGAAGTTTATTAAAGCTGGATATAGAGTCTGACTGATTCAAATGTGTACCCAGTGTGGTCACCCTTTCAACACCCTGCCTTGTGTATGAGTAGATGGTTGCCCATTGCCACCTGCTTCCAGGTGTTTGCCAATCCTCTCAGTTTGACCAGCCTTGGTCCTTTGACTCTTCCCTCACTTGTTCCTTTCTATCTCTCTCACAAGAAATTGTGTATACATTCATTCAGCTGATTTTAATTGGAAACAGTGTGCTGAGTTTTGTTCTAGGCACAAAAAGAAAAACAAATTTGCTCTTGTAGAGCTTCCATTCTGTAAGGGAGATAAGAAAAAAAGGAGATAAAAGGTAACTCTTATATTAGAAAGTAATTAACACTATGGATAAAAATTAAGCTGGAAAATGGGAGAGGGAGTGCCATTTTAAATAAGATGATCAACTGGGTCGCTCACACCTGTAATCCCAGCACATTGGGAGGTGGAGGCAAGAGGATTACCTGAGCTCTGGAGTTCAAGACCACCCTAGGCAATTTGGTGAGACCTCGTCTCTACAGTAAATAAAAAAATTACCCAGGCATAGTGGCGCACATTTGTAATTGCAGCTACTTGGAAGGCTGAGGTGGAAGAATCGTCTGAACCCAGCAGGTTGAGGATGTGGTAGCTGTGACTGTGCCACTGTTCTCCAGCCTGCGTGACAGAGTGAGACTCTGACTCAAAAAAAAGGTCAAGTAATGCCTTGCTAAAAGATGTCATTTGAGGAGATGAGGAATTCAGCTGTGTGAATCCTAACAGTAGAACTGGATGAGAATTGGTTAGCAAGTTTGGCATGCGGAGGTAGCAAGTGGTAGAATAGTAACGGGAAGAAGGAGTATTACTTTGAGTGCAATGGAAAGCCAATAGAAGGTCTGAATGGAGGAGAGCCATGATGTAGCCTTTTTTTTAACAGGATCTCTCTGGCTGTTCTTTCGATGATAGCCAAGAGAAGGCAAGAGTTAAGACAGGGAGAGACAACTTAGAAGATAGGTGTCATCAGGCAAGAGAAGGTGACAGCTTAGCTCTAGGGTGGTAGCATTGGAAGTGATGAGAAGTGGTTGGATTCTGGCTATCTGTGTATATTTTGTAGGAAAAGGCCTCAGGATTTGCATACCTGTGTTATGTAGGATTTGGGGATAGGGAAGAGAAATCAGGGCTGTTTCTAGGGTGTGGGGCCTATGGGACTAGAAGATGAGGAAGGCTGTGATAGTAACAGGTTTGTATGGGAGAAGTAAAACTTCAGTCTCAAATGATCCAGACTATGTGCCTATAGTCCCAGTTACTCAAGAGGCTGTGGTAGAAAGAATCACCTGAGCTTCCTCTAGGAAGTCAAAGCTATGGTGTGCCATGATCACAAGACTGCACTCCAACCTGGGTGACAGAGTGAGACTCTGATTCAAAAAATAAAAATGAGACTTCAGTTTTAGACATATTCAACGTAGATACCTATTGAAATATACCAACAGAAATATGTTCATTTTAGTGTCATTCTTGTAACAATTAAGTAATTCTGAAATTTACAAGAAAATGAATGAAACTAAACCAAATAACCAATCTCTTCAGTTTATAACTCCAGAATGTATGTAGTAGTGCTCCTTCAAATTGTCCCTAGAGTTTCTATTTTAAAATTTCTTTATTCCGTTTCAAGTCTTAGTGTAGTTCTGGGATTCTCTCCTGATTCATAAAACTTTGAGGACATTGAAAGTGCACAGTTTCCTCTGGAGAACATTCTGGGGCCCCTGGCTAATTTCATAAATTGTATTATTGTCTATGCACATTTATTCCCATGTGAAACTTAATTTTTCACATTAACGATTTTAAAATTAGTTTTCTCTGAAATATTTCTAATTTGTTCTATAAAAGTAATCGTTTTTATTATAGAAAATCACACTTATTGTAGAAATGTAACATAAACAAAAATAAGAAAATAGTTATATTCTCACTGTTCCACAAAGTCTATGATTAACAAATTTATTATCAAGTCTCCACTCTGTGCATATGTTATATTTTTATGTAATGTGAAATTATAATACAGCTATCCCTTAATATCCATGAAGGATTGGCTCCAGATACCAAAATCTGCAGTTGCTCAAGTCTCTGATATAAAATGACATAGTATTTGCATATAACCTTCATACATTCTCCCATGTAGTTTAAATAATCTCTTGATCACTTATAACAATTAATACAATATAAATGCTGTGTAAATAGTTGTTATACTGTATTGCTTTTTATTTGTATTATTTTTTATTGTTTTATTGTTCTTTTATTTTTCAAATATTTTCCATCCATGACTGGTTGACTCTTCATATGTGGAACCTGTGGATATGGAACCGCAGATATGGAGGGCCAATTGTGTATATACTATTTTATGACTATATGAATATTTCTATATTATAAATATCATTTTTCTAGACTATAACTTGATCTATCTGCTGTATAAATATGCCATGATTTATTTGATCCATGTTACAGCTAATAACACTGGGATGAACTATTAGCCTGTTAGCCAATCTTTGAATATCTCTGGCTTGAAACAACATATCAGTTATAATTGTTTGGGGTAGATAGAGCAAAAAGTAAAGAAATGATTATTATTAAATAGGACATATCCCATTTATCAGCAGATGGTTACAGTAGTTCAGACTCTTTTACTTCTGACCCAGAACAGATCGGGAGCAATATAACTCGTCAAAGGTCAGTATTTCTGTCAATAAAAAGCATGTTAAAATATCTTGTTGCATTTTAATGTTTAAAACTATTTAGAACCAAGCACACATTGTTTTTCTTCTCTGAAGGCAGTTAGGTTACCTATTTATTTATGTAAAAGGCACATCATTTTTTATCCTTTCCTATTTGAATAGAAAAACGAAGGAACCCTGATTTTCTTTATGGTAATTTGAGGAAGATCTAAAAAGAGGCAATTACTTCTTGGCAATAGAAGTTTAATATAGTCCTTTCTGTAACTAAACAATGAGAGTCTGTTAAGTAACAAATGGCAAGCCGGGCTCGGCAGCTCAGCCTTTGGGAGGCTGAGGTGAGTGGATTGCCTGAGCCCGCGGGTTCGAGACCCGCCTGGGCAGCGAGACCTCATCTCTACAATAAATCAAAAAATCAGCCGGGCGTGGTAGCGCATGCCTGTAATTCCGGCTACTCGGAAGGCTGAGGCGGAAGGATCGCCGGAGCCCAGCAGATTGAGGCTGCGGTGGCTGGGAGCGGCCACTGCACTCCAGTCTGGCGATAGAGTGAGACTCCAACTCCAAAAAAAAAAAACACCATCCAGAAGCACAGCCCAGTGGTGGAATACCTCCTGTCCTGAAGTTCTGTGTTGCGCATAACCTTTCAGGCGCACACAGGAATGGTATAGGCTAGGGCCAAAGATGGCAAGAGATTTGTCTGCAAGTGCTGTACCATCCACTAAAAGCTGTGTGCAGGACAGACACATCTTTTTTGTCTCACTTTTTACATGTCGTAAGTATCCGTTGCCACATGCCTAGAGGATGTAGAGAGACTACTAATACAGAATCTCCAAAGAGCTTATAGTCAGAAAGCTGCTTGTCTTCCTTTTAGATTCTTCATGGAGTTCTTCCTGTGTTCCTTAGCATTCTTGGTCATCTTGGATTTTACTCTGTTTTTCATTCCTATATGTGAAGATCAAATTGCCAGAGTCTATGGAGATTCTCTTCAGGCTTATAGAAGGCTTTGGTAGCAGCAAAGTGAATCTCTAGGGCAAGCTGAACTTGAGTATAGCAAGCTCTAAATGGGATGGCCTGTGGGAGCATGAGAATAGGTACCCAGCTTGTTGAACCACATTCTACCTCGGCTTACCAAACTCCACACCTTAATAGGTTGAAAGCTAGCTAATCATATTTGAAAGTAGAGTTTCTCTTTTTGAAAATAGTTTTGCAGACTAATATTACCTTTAACCCAATGGGAAAACATTACACTAGGTTTGTAGTCTTACCTTGAAATCATGTTTACAACCAACATTATTTTCAAAATTTTTGAAATTTTGTTTACTCTATAACTATAAAAAATTTTTTGCCATATTAAATAATCTCTTATTTAAAGCACATCATTAACAGTGCTATCTTTATTTATTGTAATACTTGTATACCTAGTTGAGAAAATGTTATGTTAATAAGATCCTTTCAATATCAGTAGCGTGACCAATTGTGATGGGCTGAATTTTTCAGGTCTCATTCAGGAACGTCGCCTGATAACACTGCACCACCACCTCCCCCTCCAAGGCCACAGCCCTCTCATTCTAGATCATCGTCTTTAGATATGAATCGGACCTTTACAGTCACCACAGGTAGGGGCTAGAAAACCATAATACACATTATCATTTAATTTTAAAATTAATCCAAGCACACATTTTTGTTTTTCTTGTTTGTTTGTTTTTTATTATATATGTGTTTGTTTATTTTTGAGTCGGGTCTCACTGTCACCCAGACTGAAGTGCAGTTTCTCAATCACAACTCAACACAGCCTCAACCTCCTGGGCTTGGGCAGGCCTTCTGCCTCAGCTTCTCAAGTAGCTGGATGACAGGCATGTGCCACCATGCCTCATTTATTTATTTATTTATTTTGTAGAGATGGGGTTTTGTTCTGTTGCCCAAGCTGGTCTTGAACTCCTGGGCTCAAGCGATCCTCCTGCCCTGGCTTCCCGAAGTGCTGGGATTATAGGCGTGAGCCACCACACCCAGCCTTGTCTTTTTAAATTGCACTTATTCAAAGAAAAATTTTGGATTAAAAAAGCATCCGATGCAAGGGAATTTTTTTTTCTTCATGACTGTCTAAAGTGTTGTTTGAATACAAATAATAAAGATGGGAACCTGTGATATAGCACAGGAAATTTAAAAAGAAAGTTGTGGTGATATCAAGGGGGGAGAACTTTATAAATGAAAGGTATGGTAACATCAAGGTCTTAATTTGGCTGATGAAGGACAGAAGGTGATGATGTTATGTTTTAGTTATTATGAGTTTAAAATGGTGAGGAAAAGGGGAAGTCATCAACAGGCCGTTGAACTTTTGAGCTGAGAAAAATTACTATATTGTTTGAGAATCATTTACATAGAAACAGGAGAGGGAAATGTTAAGAAGAAGGGAGAATATAGAAATCATGTTTGATAGCCAAAGAGCAACAAGAAATATGGGAAGAAAACTTAGAATATATACTAATATGGAAAAGGGCAGGATCGTGTCAAGAGAACCTGGTGTAACAGGTAACAAGAGAAATGAGGTTTGATTAAAGGCCAGAAGATTTGGCCATTAGGTCTCATATAGGCTGTTTAACAATATAGTATCTGCATTCCAACACCCACCAAAAATTCTTAAAAATCTTTATCATGTGGTCACATTGATTCAACCTGATTCTTCTGTTAGCAAAGTGATTAGATGTTTCCTAAATGGAAGACTTATATGTTTATGCAGGACAACAACAGGCTGGAGTTGTTGCCCATCCTCCTGCAGTGCCTCCAAGACCACAGCCCTCACAGGTAATTCTCCAAGGTATTCATTGCTAAATGTCCCCATGATTGGTTTGTATGTTAGGTATTTAATTCTATTGAGAATTATTTGAAAGGTCAGGGATTAGCTCTTGGTTATTCTTAGCATTTAATTCAGTGAATCTAAATCTTATTTTGGAAAATAAACATTTCAAGAATGTTCTGGGTTATTTTTTTAAAACACCTGAAAAGTGAAACAAATGATAATGTCTTGACAAAGGAGGTTTTAGTGGAAAGAACAATGGATTGGAAAATAGGAGATGTCCATTAATTTCCTGGGTCTAGCAGTGACTCACAGAATGACCTCACTGCATCTCTCTGGATGTGTTATTACATCAATTAAGGAAGCATTAATGACTTCTGCATCCCTTACAGGTCAAAATTGAAGTGCTGCATAGAGATTTTTATAAAATGCCTTGGGATAGCCTTAGTGGCTAGTAAAGTCAAGGATCACATTGTGAAGGTATAAGTACAATGAAGGAAGTAAGACTTAAGCAGTGACTTGAAAGATAATGTGGTATTTACTGGGGAGAGGGCATTCCAAACAGAGTGCGTATAGCATCCACAAAGCCATGGAGGTGTGTTGTCTGTTCACCAGAGGAAAACAAGTTCATTCATTACAACTGCAGTAGACGTGGGTTGATGGGAAATGAAACCGGAGATGTAGGGACGAGGCAGAGCATTGCCTGTATCATATTTAGAAGGATAGAGTTTTCTTAGAGGAGATGAGAATTTTTAAAGGGAAGAGACCTTAGATTTATTCCTTTCGTATCCTCTACTTCCTTTGTAGTAAGCATCTTACATTCTATTTTAATTCCTTATTTACTTAATCTTTTATCCTGCACTGGACTGTCAGCTTTATTAGAGCATGGCCCTTCTTTGTTTTGCTCACTATTGTTCTATAGCACTTGGCACAAAGTAGATACTCAATAAATGTATTTTTAGACTGAAGATTTTAGTAGCATTGGTTTGGCAAAGGACGACCAACTTAAGGGAAGTATGCCTGATATATTGGAAGAATAGGTGGAGCAGTGGTTTCACACTTTAAAAATAGCAGCCTTTTAAAGAAACTTAGTGAAATTTTTTTGAAAATAGCTTATTTAAAGAATAGACTATTGTGCAGTAGCCCAATTAAGAAAAAAAATAGATGCAAGTGGAGAATTGGGGTAGGGCTGGCCACTCCCCTCTCCTTCAGTGTCCTTTCTTTGAAATACAAATTTTGGGAAAAGTTTTGGTTTTGTTTTAGTTTTAGAGCTGAGTTCTCGCTATGTTGCCCAGGCTTGTCTCAAACTTCTGGGCTCAAGCAGTCCTCCCACCTCTGCCTCCCCAATTGCTGGGATTACAAGCATGAGCCACTGGGTTTCTTTTCCTGGAAGCTTATAATCTTTTTTTTTTTAGTGTCTTAGCTCTTTGCACTAATGGTTTAAACATTTATTTAGGGCTAAAAGTTATTATAGTACCCCTCCTGAATTTACAGAAAATAAAACAGCATCTTTATAATACATTTCAAAGGAAAAGAAGGTTACATTGACATTGAATGCCAGCAAAATGTTTGTTCCTCTATTCTGAACTATTGCACAGGCTCCTGGTCCCGCTGTGCATCGCCCAGTGGATGCCGATGGCCTCGTAACTCACACTAGTACCTCACCTCAGCAGATACCAGAACAACCAAATTTTGCAGATTTCAGCCAGTTTGAAGTATTTGCTGCATCAAATGTAAATGAAGAACAAGATGATGAAGCCGAGAAACATCCAGAGGTCTTGTCGGTCAGTTTTCAAGGACTTGGGTAACGTGCTGCAGTCACTTCCTACATCATGCTCATCAGCCTGTCTAGCAACAGGGCAGACACTAGAGGGGCTACCAGTGTAAAAGATCTGCTTCTGCTTCTTTTAGAGATGTATATTTCCTAGGTTAGTGCTTCTCAACTTGTTTATTGGCCTCTAACACCTGCTGGTTGTAGTCTAATCTCGTGAGGGTAGGCAGGTATAGTGTGATCCTGGTCCTGGTTAGCACACTGCTCTGGGGTTTCATCTTAATGTGAAGCATCTGACTGTGTGATCTGGTGAAGATTTCCATGTGACAAGTGGCTATGGTTGCCATAGTTCTACTCATAGCAGTTTTTCCCAGAGGGGGATTTCTCTAGATATAACTTTTCAATCTAATTATAACTTCAACTAGAACTAAATTTCATCCAAACTTCTAATTAAAGCACTTTAAATGTGTATAAGAGTAAGCTGCCTTAGTTAGGCAGACTTACACACTGCATATGCCAAAATTTAATATTTGCAGACAGTTCCAGGAGATTCTGTTGTAGTTCTAGTGGCAAAACTTCTCTAGAAACCCCTGACATAAATCACAGAACATAAATGTGGAGTTGCAGGGACCAGCAGAATTCTGAAATCTCTGTTCTGATTGTTTTCAGCCCATTTCAAGCCTATCTATTGGATCCAAAAATCCATATTTATTTGACTATCCTAATTTAGATATAAGTTTCATGTAGATCTGATCCATGAAGAATCTCCTACTAGCCCCTTTTTCAAAACTGTGACTTTCTGCTGGGCCCTTTGGAATGGACTGTACCTAGAAAGGCAGGGGTAGGCCTGAGGGCAAGTGCAACTGTGCACATGTACTGATGCTCACTCCCCTGGGTGGCTGCATCCTCATCCCCTCCCCTCACACTTCTGTTACCTTCCCTCTTTCCTGCCCTTCAGTAACAGAGAAAGCTCATTTAATGTTTTCCAAGTATTTGCTTATCTTCATCTCAGATTTCTTGTTATCAGAGTAAACATTTTCTTAACATTTTACTCTGATTTATTACATATTCTGTATTTATACATAATTATACTTTACTAATGTATAATTAATAGTGGTAACATATTTATCTCTAGGTTGAAAAAGCTTCTGATCCTGCAGGTTCTCTTCGAGTTGCCAAAACAGATAGTAAAATTGAAGAAAAGACAGCTGCTAGTGCTCCTGCCAATGTGGTATGCAAAAAGTCATGTCTAATATTAATAATTTTGTATATATAAAAAGATAGGAGATAGTTTTTAGAAATGAGACCAACTAGAAATCCTCAAACCCATTTTCCTACCCTTAACTGTAGCATATTCAGCCTCTCTCAGAACAAGCTCTTCCTATTTAATGAAAACGATGATAGTCTATAATCAGAATTAAATATATGCCACAGGAACTCAAAATTTAAATGCTTATTACATTCCTCCTGATATATAAAGTAGAACTTCTTTATGGGTCAAATTCAGTTTCTTTTATTGCAATCTTAAATGTAATAGAGAAAAATCATCAGCACCCCCAAGGGTCTTATTATACTCTGTGTGCTCTGAATTTTTTCTTTAACTGTTTCAGAGATAATTTTTCCCCAACATCTTATTATGAAAAGCATTCAGAAAAGTTGAAACAGTTTTTAATTGTACATCAGTAAACCTGTCACCTTGATTATACCATTAATATTTTACTCTACTTGTTTTATCACATCTCTCTGCTCCTTCTCTCTCTCTGTCAGTCTGTTAATCTGTATCTATTATTTGCATTTCTAATTGCAGATACCAGTATACTTTCCCTCAAGGGAAAGTACCCTTTTTTCTGTTAACAGGCATTTTCTATAGCTATTAAAACAGCATATGTTTCTGAAAAATGTTTAAATTCTGCTTGCTGAAACTCTGTTTTACTACATTAGTAGTTCTGTGATATCTTTAATGATTCTCATTTTTGTCAACTCACAGCAACAAATTGAAAATAATACTTAACTAAAGAGATAGCAGTTGACTATTGTTTTTATTTATTTACAGGTAAATTAAGTTGCAGTAAATACCAAACCATCATATTTGATTCTTTTGGGGGCAGATTCACAATCTTCAACAAAATGTCCACTCATTTTAAAGAGTTATAATTACTATGCATATTAGTAATTTGTTTGAGTTGCCTCGCTTTCTACTTTTTTATAATAAATTGTTTTATTCATTAAGATATATTTTAGTATTTTTGAGTAGGAAATTCTATGGTGACAACAGATGAATATTTCCAGAGACTACCTTTGTTTATTTATTGAACGGGTATATATTAATCCTGTATCATGTTGATGTCAAAATTATGACTATTACAGTCTTGAATCAAATTTGTACCTCGAGGAGTCTATGTTAAAAATGTATGTTTGAGATACATTCATGATAGTGATGTCAACTAAAAACATCCTTTCCCACTGTAATTTAAGTTAGCTGTTGCCACATACATAAATTGTTTTAAAGTAGGACAGGCAACTTGATATTTCAAGAGCAGGTGGTTTAAAGAAAGCAAATGGTGTTGGCAAAATGCTAACTAACCATGGATGTCTTAAAAAATGCTCATTACTAATGGAATTCTTGTCTTCCAGAGCAAAGGCACAACACCTCTTGCTCCACCACCTAAGCCTGTTAGAAGAAGATTAAAATCAGAAGATGAATTAAGGCCAGAAGTCGATGAACACACACAAAAGACAGGTGTCTTGGCCGCTGTTCTTGCGTCACAACCTTCTATTCCTAGGTAATCGAAGCTATTCCTAGACATACTCAATTATTTGAGAGGAAGGGTACTACACTTAAAAATACTAAACTGAAGGAAATTATGGTCAGACTAGTTTCTTAATTGAGCAGAGGTTCTTAGCTGTTCTTCCGGAGCTTTCTCATTTATAAGTATGCAGATTATTCTTCCCACGTTGTCTCCTCCATTATTAAGTCGAACTCTAATTCCATTTAACACCTTGTTTCACATCTGGAGCAGAGCATCTTTAAAGTCAATTAGTGTAGAGCAAAACTGGTATCTTAACTGTGTTGCTCTAGACCAAGAGTCAGCAAGCTAAGGCTCACAGGCCACATTCGGCCCATGCCCTGTTTTTGTATAGCCTGTGAGCTAAAATGACTTTACTTCTTTGTAAAAGGAGAAGAAAGAAAAGAAGAGTAAAAAAAAGAGAAACAATTAGACTCTGCAACAGCAACTATATGACCCCTAAAGTCTACAGTATTTACTGTCTGGTTGTTTACAGAAAATGTTTGCCAATACCTGCTCTAGACTACTTTACTTAAACTCTGGTGATATTACAGAAGAATAATAGGTAACCATAATAAACTTAAATGTCTGAAGCATGGTGGTTTACCATTGAAACTCAGCAAGTAATACTGAGCTGTACTAATAAGGAAAAAGATGTTCCCTCTGCTTTCCATGTTTAGAAGTAGACAAGGGAAGAATGGAAAGAATTTAAAGATAAGAAATGGAGGTTATATGGGTTTTTTGTTTTTGTTTTTGGATTTTTTTGCCCCCTTTATCTTCACAGATCAGTCGGGAAAGATAAGAAAGCTATTCAGGCATCAATTAGACGGAATAAGGAAACCAACACAGTTCTGGCCAGATTGAATAGTGAATTGCAGCAACAATTAAAGGTAATGTTGTTTCTGAACTTTTATTTGGAAAGTTCATGGACTAAGAGCATCTCAGAGTTGAAGGAGAACTTAGAGGTGATCCAGCAGTTCGTAAGCTTGTTTGAAACTTGCCATGTAGCAAGAGAAATGTGTATATAAAATGTTTTATGAGCCTTTGAATCTTGTAATACTAAGAGGAATTTCTCAATTCTGGTTTGCATTGCCCTATCCTGCATATATATAAGGCATCATCATTCCTATAATGTTCCTTACCTTTCATAAAGAAACCTAAAAAGAAGAAATGCTGTGACTTCAGATACCTGCGAAATCACATACATGGCTGTCTACACTATTTAATTTCCTAGATGATTTGACTGTGCTTAGTATACCCTCACCCCTACTTTTTTTTAAGAGACAGTTATAATTTACGGCAGCCTTGAACTCCTGGGCTCAAGCAGTCCTCCCACCTCAGCCTCCTGAATAGCTGAGATTACAGGCATGAGCCACCATACTCTGCTCCTAGTTTATCCTTTTATCAAAGACAACTCAGATTCTATTAAAGGGACTTAAACAGGTCTAAAGAAGAAGAGTGGAGCCAGGCTTGGTGGCTCAACCTGTAATCCTGTGCCTTTGGGTGGCTGAGGTGAGTGGATTGCCTGAGCCCAAGGGTTCGAGACCCGCCTGGGCAACTTGGCGAGACCTCATCTCTACAATAAATCAAAAATTAGCCGGGCGTGGTAGCGCGCCTGTAGTTCTGGCTGCTTGGAAGGCTGAGGCGGAAGAATCTTACTCCAGTCTGGGCGACAGACTGAGACTCCAACTCACAAAAAAAAAAAAGAAGAGTGGGGCAGATTAGATCATCTTGCATGTGTTAAAGGATAAACTTTAAATAGAAGTGTTGCTTATGTATGCGACTGTCATCTGATATTTGAGAGGAATCAGTTTGTTCTTCTATTAACTATGCTTTGTTTAAATCCCTATGAATAAAAATTACTGGAGGAAGCCGGGCTCGGTGGCTCAGCCTGTAATCCCGCGCCTTTGGGAGGCTGAGGTGAGTGGATTGCCTGAGCCCACGGGTTCGAGACCCGCCTGGGCAGCGAGACCTCATCTCTACAGTAAATCAAAAAATCAGCCGGGCATGGTAGTGCGTGCCTGTAGTTCAGTTCCAGCTACTCGGAAGGCTGAGACGGAAGGATCCCCGGAGCCCAGCAGGTCGAGGCTGCGGTGGCCAGGAGCGGCCACTGCACTCCAGTCTGGGCGACCGAGTGAGACTCCAACTCAAAAAAAAAAACAACAAAAAATGTTGTTAATACATGTTTTTCTGAAGAGTTAGGGAAAACCACTGAAAGAAGTATATAGGAGCTATATTACAGATCACTTTTCTCATTCCCTCAGAGAACAGAAAATAGGAAGTGAGGTACCATATAGGAAGTAGTCATTCTGACTCAAAAAGATATTATCAGTCATTGCTTTTCTTTTTTTTTGAGTTGGAGTCTCACTCTGTCAGCCAGACTGGAGTGCAGTGGCTGCTCCCGGCCACCTCAGCCTCGACCTGCTGGGCTCAG